GATTGTAATTTTTAAAAAATAATAAAACCTATTAAAAAATCCTTCCAATAATTGCCTCTCCACACATTGGCTAATCAAACTATTTTTCATTTGAAACGCACATATACAAGAGTTTTGATTACAGGCTGGTTACCATTTTTCCTGGCTCGACCCTCATTGTAATCCAAGATGGAACTCGTTCTTTCATCATTTTTGAAGATACTTTCCATTATACAAGAATTGTTGTTCATAGAAATGTCATCTCTGCTGTACTCTGGAAGTGATCTTCCTTTATCGTAAGCCAGAGAAACCTGGGAAGAAGATGCACTCCAAAAGCACCCAGGGCCACAATAAAACATTACTATATACAATAAAAATTAAATCATAATTATATACTTTTCAGAACCTTACTTTCCATGATGGCAGCCTCTTCCTTGAGGTGTCGTAGTCAGTCAGAAGTTATTTGGAAGCTCTTGGGCTGGACGACATGCAATTTGCCCTGATTTGGGGTCTTTGCCCTTTCACAACTTGGAGTGACAAATACCTTAGATGTAGTGATATGTGGGGATGACCTTGGGAGACAGGAGGAAGATCTGCAGCTTAGGCAATGGTCTGATAAAAGGCAACTTAGTCCACAGGTGGAGGAAAAGTTTCAGAACGTACCCTCTCTAGTTTGCCAGAGACTAAAAAGAGAGAAGAGAAATACTTTCAGTCTTTGCAAGATTCTGTTAATGTAACTTTACAAGTAGGATTAGTTAATCTGGGTGTCCTTCTTGTATGGTCTTCCTTGCAAGACTGACACCTGGAATTTGATTTCTTTGACACTTTACTGATGGTTGGTTTTCAGGAGTTGATACAAGAAAGTTGGTATTCTGCAACATGTAGTTCAGCTTTTCGTGAAAATTCATCCATATTTGAGCAAGTTGAATGAGCCAGACCCATAGATTGTCTAGGCACAGCATGTAGCAAATGTATTTTCTCAATGCAGTTTTAAGATTTCATGTGGACCAAGCATAGTGAAATGCACTGATTCAACCCCAGCTACTAATGCTTGTTCTGTCAGGTCTTTCTCTTAGGAGTTGTGGGCCAAGGAAAGCGAGGTGCATGAATAAATGAACAATAATGTACAATGTGCTGTGAGTTGTGTTGTCCTTTTTAAAGTGTCCTTTCCCCCCTCTCCCCCAAAAGCTCAACTATGTACAGTAACTCAAGGAAACACTAAAGTTTGGAACTAGTCAGTGAAACTCTATTTGTTTCCAAATGTTGCACCAAGCCAGGTCAGGGCTTCGTTGTTGCTCATGGTTATTTTTTATAACTTTGCCCATGTCTTTAGGTTAGGACATCCAGTGGGACAATGGGGCAGTTAATGTTTGACTGATCTTTAGAACACACATGTTCTTAGATGTTGTTATGATTTTTGCAGATTGCTGCAATGCACAGAGAATATCAGTATTGGACTATTCTCCTCCTCCTCCTCCATTTGAAACAAAAGCAAACTAATTTATAGTTTACAAGTCTATATCTAAACAACTTAGTCGACTAATTTGCCTTAGTAGTAGAGCTGAATATTTTTTGTTCAGGTGACATTCTGGATCTGGCATTTTTTTCAACATGAGTTTAAAGTTTATAAAGACATTTGATTGTAGTGCATATTAATAATAGCATTTTCTGTAACTTGTAAACAACTAGTAGGCATGCCCCAAGAAAATAATGGGAAATGTTTAATTTCAGTAAAGCTGAAACTGAATTTTTCTTTCCATTCATCAGAATTATGTAAATGCATAACTTTAAAATCCAATTGCAAAATAATATTGATTTAACCTAAAAATCTAATACAAGCATTTACATGCTCTGCTGAAAGAGACACTTGGTCTTTTCTAGCATGCAGTGCCTTCCAGATTTTTAATTTTTTAAGCTATGCTTGACTGAGCCCAGTACTTATTCCATGAGGCATTACATAATTTGGAAAAGTTAGGAACTGTAATCATGAAATACATATACACATATTCATGTGTGTGTGTGTGTGTGTGTGTGTGTGTGTATATATATATATATATATATATATATATATATATATATATATATATATATATATATATATATATATATATATATATATA